CACACACACACACACAAACACACGCACTTTGAGATCCACTCCCCCTCCTGAAAGACTTCAAAGCAAAAACTTGCAAAAGCAGTATCTGAATGCAACATACTTTAACGACTCGTGGCTTATGGCTTCACTCTTGGCACCACTTTGCAGCGCTCTACCCCCACCTGCCGTTGTGCGTCAGGAAGCCAGAGTGGCCACACTCAAAAAAAAAAGACGAATGTCCTCCTAAAACTCACTCGACTCTTATTTTCCTTTATATTTTAGTTCTTTGGTTTAATATGAACAAGTGCACAATTCACACCAAGGAAAATGATCACCTTGTGCTGCCCTGTCTTTTTTGTTTTTACGTGTACTTATCCAGACGGTGGATTTTCAGTATTTTCCAGTGATTGTAAAGCTTCGGAGACTCTCAGCGAGCGACACGATTAAGAAACACAAGAACGATAATATTTTTTAAGGCAAAGAAATGCATCCGCGTGCACGCAGCAGCCACTCAGGTTACATCTTTATGTTGCCCACAGGCTCGCTGGAGCGCGCTCACTCGGATCAAACCGTCACCCCCTTACCCCCTCCCCTCTCCTTCGAATCAGGTGCGCGACGCACGCGGAACCCAATTAACGGAGTAAGTGTAACTCTGCTGTCTCAAATAAGACTAATAAGAATTTTTTTTATCCACACACACACAAAAGAAAAAACTTTGGGAAGCATCACCGCGTCATTAATCTCACATTATCTCGCACTGCCTGCGCGCGAGGTGCAGACGCTGATGAAGGTGTTGACAAAAACCTCAGTCCATGACAGTGTTTTCTCTACAGTGCTCCTCACAAGACAGAGTGGACAGCGACGAGTGAAAACACACACACTAATAAACACACACGCGCGCGCGAAAAAAGGCGGTGGTCTTTGACAGATATGAGTGGATATTGACGTCTTCACGTGCGCTGCCGGTTTAAGTTGGGAGGAATCAGTGATTAAAGCGGAAAGAAAGGAGAGCTGTTTGCAAATAAGAAAATACAGCAGCGATGTGAAACATGTTTGGTTTTTTTTGTTTTTTTTTAACTAATTGGAGTAAGAGATGATATCCTGGGGAAGTATGGAGTGCACTGCAACACCCTAAAAACCCCACAGGACCCCGTCAGGATCCCTCTTTTCAGCAGGAAAGCATCCTGGCCCCCCTGCAAGACGTGCTTCAACTACAAAACAACGTCCACTTAAACAATCCACCCCTCTCTCTCACACACAAACACACATACACACACTTACATTCACACTCCCTCTCTCCCCTTCAGCTCGCAGCCCTCTCTCTGGCTGCTGCAGCCCGAGATGGCAAAATAACACTCAACTTGTACACAAAGTCACTAAAGCTCGAGGATTGCCACACACTCCCGCGCGCATCCCTTTACCTTGGCCGCCGCAGACGAGCACCCCGAGGAGATGGACGAGTTTGAAGATCATTTTCGGGCGGGTTTCGGGGCTGCCGGACGCCGCTTTGAGCTGCTGTAAAAAAACGACAAGGGCGACAAGCACACACGTTCGGCTCCGTTCATCCGCTGTCTTGGGCTCCGCTTGGCGACTGATTTGCCTCAGCTCCTTTCCTTCCCTTCCTTCCTATGCGCGCGCTCCCGCCTCCCTGCTCGTTCACCGTGTTGCTCTGCGCTGAGTCCCCCCCACCACCACCACTACCTTCACACTCCAGCATTATTCTCTCCAACCTCACTGCTGGTGGAGAAGCAAAGCTGCGATGGCTTCAGACATGTGTTATGTTTTTGCCTGACTTTATTGGCTTCTTAAAAAAACCAGTTAATAATAAGACATCTTTAATCAAGCACAAGTTTATCTAGTAATTCTGAGGACCCCCTTGTCTAATAGCTGACCTCACCTCACCTACAATCCACCCTTTATAATCTTTTGTCAGAGAGCGGGCAAATGAAGAGGATTTATGCGCAAAACTCAGAGCTTTCTCTGCAAGGCCATTTCATATTAATGTCCTAAATCTTATCATTTATTCTTAATTAGCCCCGCAATAGACAGGTGTACTTTTATCCACTTTTAACGTAGATTTTCTGTGTTTTTACATATATAATTATTTATTTATTATTATTATTATTATTATTATTAGCAGTAGTACTACTACTACTTAATAATAATTATTAAATTTATGTATTGTTAGTATTTTTCCTCTTCTTCTTATAATTATTTGTTTATTTTTGTATTTTATGTTT